TATAAAGGTTGACCTAATCCCAATTTCCCTATATATCAAGTATAAACAAATGTATTTATTTATTTATTTATTTATATCAAATGGCAAGCGTTTTGATGGTTATCATTAGCCCTTTAGCTGACTTCGGGCTTCACAGAGGGAAAGGAACATCAAAGTGAGAAGAATTCAGGAGGGGAAATAGAGGGGTGTTTCAAAGATGTAAAAGAGATAGACACAAAGGTAGAAAAAAGGTGAGGTGAGTGCTGTGGAAGTAGACGAATATGGCATACAGTGGGGTGATGGTATTTTGAAGTCAGAAATCAACTACCGGTTTATAGACTTTTTTACCCTATGAGTATACGTTGCCCAGGGTGCACCACGTGGAGGTAAGTCTATCGCACACCCCATAAAACAAATGTGAGTTCATCCAAAAAGAAGAAGAAATCGTATTTGCAATTTCTTAAGTAATTCGCACAAGTTCGTAAAGATTTTTAGTAGGGCAATCGATGCATATTTGCAACAATAATTAGTCCAGTTAATTATTTTAGATAATTATTCAAATGATAATTAACCGGAAATTACATGGGAATAAATATTGCAATCTCCCGGGGGATAAGTGTTTTTAAGATTCAAAAGTACATTTAAGACTTGAAATTTAATATTTAACTAAATGCTAGAGGTGAGCGAACATAGGTTGCGGAAATAAAACTCATTTAAACAATCATTTACGGAAATGCTTATATTTTTGAAGTGAAAAGTCTAGAAATATTCAAGGAAACAAAATTGGAAGAGAGGTGCGTGGAAAGCAAGCCAAACACCCCTAGTGGACTTTAGGCGAGAATTATGTTTTTCTTTCTGTTTTGTTACCAAGAGCCTCCAATATAGTTGTCAAAAGTAAACGGTTGAATTGATCTGAAAGTTGGCATGAAAAGAGAAAGAAACCCACCCTAATCAAAAAAAATGCGCCGAGGGGAGGTAACATGCAGCCATTTTCATTAAAAAATCTCATTCTATCAACTTGACAATTGAATGGTTTTGACAAGCAATTATCAGGGTTTGTGTCAACAAACATTTATATTTATATCAAATGGCAGGCGTCTTGATGGTTATCATTAGCCCTATAGTTGACTTCAGACTTCACAGAGGGGAAGGAACATCAAATTGAAAAAGTCGAGAGGGGGGAACAGAAGAGTGTTTCAAAGGTGTAAGAGACAAACACAAAGGTAGAAAAAAGGTGAGGTGAGTACCGTGAAGGGATCGAATATGGCCTAGAGTGAGGTGATGGTAATTTAAAGTGAGTAGTCAACTGCCAGTTAATAGACTTTTTTGCCGTATGAGCATACATTGCCCAGGGTGCACCACGTGGAGGTAAGTCTATCACACACCTCTAATTGGGTAATATAAGAAGACATTATTGTCTGGCTTTATCAAACTGAAACTTCGTATAAACGAGTACGTCCATTCTCCAAGGAGGCTGATTTGATATAAAACAAAGAAAAAAGAAAAAGGTGGATGATCTTTCCCATTAACAAGAATACTGCTATGGTAAATTAAATAAATTCAGCCATTTTTGGTACTCCTAATCTCTTTCATATGCCTTTCAAACTGTGCCCAAATTAATTGGATCTATGGGGTTTGCAAAGTGGCAGATATTTCTTGGGTGGTTGTATTAAAGTGGTACATTGGTGATACATTTATGATACTAAGATCTTGCTGCGGCCGCATTAATCAAATCACTTTCCCTCTGTAAATGCCCACTCAGAGTTGCGTGCTACCACGTCACCGAAACTCGACTTTGTTCTAACACAGAAAAAGTAAAGAATGAGCTCATTTAATGTGTACATTTAATTAGGAGAACAGAGTTGACAAAATTATGGGCTGCAATTTAAAACTTCATATTTTTTAAATTTTCAAGAAAGTCAGAATAAGGTTAAAAAAATTGAAAAAAATAAGCAACATTCAAGAAATTCCTTATTTTTCCATAAAATAATTAATGACGTAAAAGATCCTTTCTTTATATGCAAATTTGCATCAATTGGTTTTCACCGTAAGTGAATATGTTTTTAAACAAAGAGAGAGGCATATTAAATACACCCATAAACATTTTTTTTTCAAGAGGTAACAAGGAGTTAATTAAATCAAGAAATAGTTTGGTGAACAAAAATTTGGTGCCATTGGCAACAGTTACGAGCTAATAATATGCCTGTTGGGATGAGTGATATTTTCAAGGTGGTGGAGGTAGAATTAAAAATCGAAACTATGCAACCTAAATACTCAACCAAAAAAACCAGTTTGCTCCTGAGCGAGTGGGTTTCTTTCTGGAATCTAAAAAAAAGATGAGCCCAAGTGAAGTCATAGCTTTGAAGCAACGACTTCAGTGTCAACCAACCAATGATCTTTTTTTTGCACTCCACACCAACAAATGACGCTTCTGCTGCAGAGACGTCAAACATCAAATTCCTTCTTCCCAAATTTATTTCAAAATGGCATCTCAAAAAAAGAGGAGGGGGAGGAGGAGGCATAAGAATGAAAGTCCAAAGGGCGGGGACACGGGAGGGGGAGGAGGAGTAAGAAAGCACCAAGGGGAGAAAAGGTAATTTCATAGGAAAGACGAAAAAGAACACGATATTTTGAGATGCGGAAAAGGCGATAGAGTGGATAGAGGACTTAGGAAAGACCCGGGTTATGCAGAGGGAGCACGGGGATCTTGGCAGCGTCGGCTGGGCCTTTCCTCTGCTCAACATTACTGCTCTTAGTACGGTAACGGTAGATCCCCTTCTCGTCCGCCTTTTTGGACACCATGACGCCACTACCCTCCTCAGTACCGGCATTATCAGGTCCCTCTCCCCCCTCATCAACAACGCACTCCTTGTAAGCTTGTTCTTCTTGATGGCATTGTTTCAACAAATCACGCAGTTCAGAGGCACCCAAAGAACGACACCGAAGTCGATTCTAAAAATAAGAGATGTGGATGATGTTTACATTTATAGTGAGCTTTTAATTCAATTGACACGACTTACATGCAAAGCAGAATGGCAACGTTTGCGAGTAGCAGTTGGATTCACATTGACAGTGATACCATTCAACAATTGATGATCGTTGGGTTTTATCTCGTCGTCGCTAGAACAAGAACAGGAATCTTCTCTCAATCGATCACCGGAGTAGTGGCGCATTCTCTCTTGATGGTGGTCCTCAGCGAAGAACTCAGCGCGGATATCCTGAATACTCGCTGAACGGATTATTGGAGGCCAATCACCGGCCATTCTATCGATCTCCTCGCGAATGCGCTCGTAGTCTTTGTGGGAGATTGAGTGTGGGAAGAGTGCTTTTTTAAGCTCTCGCATTTGTAGACGGAATGAGACACCTTCAACAAGGGCCTCGATCAAGTAGCCTAGAAGGAAGTTCGCTATGGCAAATTGGATGACCATAATTCGCATGAAGTACGTAGGATACACGATCAACTGAAACATAGCAATGAGAAATCAGTGAGGTCAATTGAGATTATTAGTTGATCTTAACTAAAGACGCATAATTTCCTTTCCTAGAGGGCGATCTTAATGGCACTCAAAGTAAGCAATAGATTAATGATTCTCCATTTGGATCTAAATGATGAAAGATTTTAATGTTCAAAAGTTCAAAACCATATATCCTTGAAATCGGTGAAATCGAGTCCCATCACAGCCTCTAAGCTCCTGATGTGAAGTCTGAATTCTTTCACACCTCACCTACCCCTGAACAGACATTGCTCCGAAAAAAGCTTCAAATGAAGTCAACAACTCCGAATATTTCTAATCGCGTAGGAATAATTGCGATGTGACATTTACTGTTCACTCACTCCTACCACAAGCCTTTAGAGTATGCAACTGAAGAGACGTTTAAATAAATATATATGTAATCAGGAAAATAGGACTAACGCCGAAGAAGTCCAGTAGTGATTGGCCCTCGTAGAGGTTGATGAAGAGATTGATCCCCAGAATAAGCAGAATGTTGCCAGTAAAGAGGTCTAAAGAGAAGGGGGTACGAAAAAAGACGTCATTGAGTGATGCTTATTCCACCTCCTCTCAAGTACCAAGTACACTAGTGTGCACTTGTGTGTGTGTGTGTGTGTTTGACAACAGGGGGCGGTGTCGAGAAGTGCACTGGATTTACGACTTACAGTTAGTGTATATTCTTCGACGGTAAGGTGGACCCTTTGAGAAGATAACTGCGAGAATGATGTATTGGTAGCAGGAGAGAAGGAAAATTGCCGTATTCGTTTGGGTATCACTTTCGCTAATCCTGAAAGAGAAGAAAGCGTTTATTAGGCAAGCCTCCAACCCCCCCCCCCTCAATGAACACATTTCAGCATATCAAAAAGCAACAAACACACACACACACCATGGTTGAGAGTTAATGTAGAAGAATGTGCCGATCTGAGTGGCCATGATGAGTATTAGTTGACTTCCAAGAGAGAGGAGAGTTGTTGTTGAGACCAGACGCGTTGTTGGGGGTTCTTTCGAAAGATGTTTAAATGGTTGAGTGTAGGCGACTAGAATAAGCAGAAAACGCCTGTTAAAGAAGCATTCCATCGCTTTCCTCCAAGTATCTAATACAGAGTGTGAGGACAAATATGGTAGTCTCATCAATGAAAAAAAAATTTGTGGTAGGAAGCGTCATGACACATTACTCTCAACTGTGACGGAAGAGGACACATCCGAAGACCATGACAGTTTGCACAGATTTTGTTTGTGCGGTACAAGGAGGTTTCCTTCGATTCCATGCTGGCCAAAGAAACGGTTATTCTGAGCACTGTGCTATTGTTCACGGCAAAAGTTGTCCTCATCGAGGGATACCCAACACCATTTCGTAAGACCTATCCCAAGCACTGAACCCTGGAGTTGATGAAGGACAACCAAATGACAATTTCTGAAGTACGTTAACAGTAACATCTTCGACCTGGGATACGAGGTCACAAGAAGACTGGAGTCAAATTTCTATTCGACCATAGGAAAGAAATTGAAGAACTGGGGTGAGATAATCTTACTGGAAATCTCAAGGTGTAACGAACTTAAAGCCCGAACAAAGGAGAAACAGTGGACAGTCACACTCCCCGATATAGCCGACTGGCCAAGAATCGAAGCCGTTGATGAGTTTAGACTACGTACCGGACACGATTGGCTAGCAAAACACCTTCACAGATTGGGAGTATACACTCAAACCACATGCCCCCTATGTAACCTACAGGAGGAAATGGAGAAGACCCACCTGATTCAATGTCCAGCCCTAAAGACAAGGACGGAAAGCCAGAGATACTGGGAAGCAAGAAGACAGCTAATGAACTGCTATAAATGTACCCCCCCCCCCACCAATGGCGGAAGATGAAGTCAGAGTTTAAGGGCTAATGATAAATATCATAAAGCCTGCCATTTGAAATAATCTTACTAGAAATTAAAAATAATGAAAACCAGGTCAATCGTGATCCCTTAGACGTCCGCTATTTACGATATAGACAGAACTGGGCAGAAACCGAGAGAACAAGTCCTTTCAACAATCAAAGAGCAATCTTATTCTGCCTTTTGCTGCCTGTAAATCTAGTAGCCACACGTCTTGGAAGAAGGAAGTGGCTTTATCGAATGACCTCTCAACTATATATTGGACTTGAAATAGGCGATCTCAAACAAGTGAAATGCTAAGAACACGAATAAACCAATCGAATCACGAAATATGCAAAGTGCTTAAGATGCACTTATTGATTTCAACTATATTATAAAACATTAACAGAGAAGAAGGAAAATTAATTCCTTGAAAGATGAAAAAAAACAACTTGAATAAATTAGGGAGGGATATTAATGAAACTCACATGTAATGCTAAGGGTCATGATTACAAACAAGTCGATATAGAGAAACTGCATATCTTCTAAAGTCGATTTGACCTGAAAGAAGTACACAAGATGAATAATAAAATCGGCACACATTGGGGTTAACATTATTTCATTGCATTACAATGAGACATACAGAGTATAAAATAAGGACAGAGGTAAACTGAGTGATGGAATAGCCAATCATGAATTTGAATGTTCCAAAACTGGTAGCCAGTGCGCATCGACCTTCCCGAATGAGTCTTGAAATGCAGGAAATATTCTGAAGACCTGAAGTGAAAGGACTAGCAACAGAAGCTTCGGCTAGACTCAGAGCAATTCCGGCATGAGCAGCCTTGAGAGCCCCACAATCGTTTGCGCCGTCACCACACATTGACACAAAGTAGCCGACCGATTGCAGGGCTTCAATCAACTGGGATTTCTGATCGGGAGAGAAGCGAGCAAACACTGTTCCCTTTACAACGAGCTGAACAAAAAGAAAGAGAGAGAGAGTGTGTGAAGACATTAGTTAAATGTCACTGTTGGGAAGCGACAGCACGAAGCTCAACTATTCAGCAGATATACGCTCATCGTCTACAGATGATATGACAGGTCCAAATGTTCTAAGATGTAATCGAGTTAAAGAGATGTGTGTGGTTGAGGAGTTAGCGAAGAAAGAACTGAGAAAGGCCAACTTGCCAGTTCCCTAACTCGAAAAGTTTTATTCAAAGCGATTGGTTATGTGGCCCACTGAAATTCTGTCAATAAACATCGAACCAATGACTACCAATGTTAAAGGCGTGCATGTTGACCATTTCGAAAGATAAATCGTCCTTAACACAGTCAAAATATGCCTTATTATAAAAGATATCTATTGCACAATTAAAAAGGTTATAAAAGCTTACCTTTGGAATGAGGGAAGGGAAGTTATCCCGGATAATGGCCCAAGTCTTGCCAGTAATAGCAAGGTGGAAGTCCGGTCGATCAACCATCTGTAGCGTAATTCCATGCGCTCCACCCTTTGATCGTTTCGTCCGTTCAGCTTTCTTGATAGAGTCCCCATTACAAGATTCCACGTCGATATCCACTGCTTTAACACTATAACTTGAAGTATTTCGTCTACGCTTCAAAAAGGGGAAGAAATTTCGAATTCCAGAGACTTGTTCAGGCTCTCGGATATGTTCATCGATGTCTTTCTCCTTCCCATCAATTTTACGTTTTGAAGTGGCCGTCACTTCAATAACTGTTTTGTGAAGATCTTCCGCGTAGTGAAACTGAACAAGCTCCTTCCAGGAATCGTCAGAGTCGGATAGATTTTCATTCGAAGAGTTGAAAGCTACGCCATTAGGAGTATCTAAAAGGACAGCAGGAGCTGGTTTCTTGGGAGGTGTTGCAGAAACAATGATTATTCGATCCATCTCATCGATCATCTCACAATCACGAGCAACTGAAAGAGCAGTGAGCATGTTGTCACCGGTTACCATAACAGGGCGAATATTGGCAGATTTGAGAAGTTTGATTTCGGGGGCACTTTCTGGTTTAAGTCTGTTCTCCATGACTAACAAGCCGAGAAAATGGAGCTGACGTTCAATTGAGTCACGCTGAAGGCGCATGACACGAGTGTATACAACACGGAGAGGTCTCCAAGCGAGAGCCAGGACACGATAACCCTCCCGGGTATATTCAAGTAACACCTTGTGGAAATCTCGTGGAACTGGGAAAAAAGATTTAAGCTTAAAACATTAGTTAAACTAAATAATACCGGAAGATAACTGAGCATAGATACTTACGAGTTTCTTTTCGGCAGAGGGTTTCAATCATTTCAGGAGAGCCTTTGGTATAAACAGAGAAGTGACTACCGTTGAGAGCACGTGCTATCACAGACATTCGTTGGAGAGAGGAACTGAAGGGAAATTGGCGAATGATACCGATTTCATAAGGTAGCGCCTTTAAGAACAGAAAGAGGAAATTATTTATTTTATTTATTTATTTCAAATGGCAGGCGGTATGATAGATATCATTAGCTCTTTAGTTGACTTCGTGCTTCACAGAAAGGAAGATGAACATCCAACTGGCAAAAAGTCGATAGGGGGACAGAATAATGATTCACAGACGTAAAAGAGACAGACACACACAGGTAGAAAAAAGGTGAGGTGAATACTGTGGAATTATTCGAATATGAAATGTAATGGGGTCATGGTAGTGTGAAGTCAGAAGTCAACTGCCGATTAATAGACTTCTTTGCCGTATGAGTATACGTTGCCCAGGGTGCACCACGTGGAGGTAAATCTATCGCACACCCCAAATTGGAAATTATTAAATAATCACAAGAGAAGATAGTGAACCTTATGCAGATAAACTATAACTTCAGTAGATGTGGCGCATCCATAACAACAACAGTTTTCTGGCCAAAGAACAACTTCCTTTGAGACACTCCGACTTGAGTACAATTGAATTATCTCTGTTGTCTCAACTGATTTTTCCGCCTAGGCGATCACAACAAGCTACTATAGTAAGCACGAGTCAGGATTTCTCATCTCTGGAATCTCCTGGTTCCTTGCACTTAGTTCCAAATGCGTTAAAAGCTAAGTCTAGATCAAATCACCTGGGCTACGGAGGCGATAGCAAATTATAAATTCATGAAATGGTATAAGGCATTGGAAACACTCCCGAGAAATGCTTACTATAAGGCCTATATAGTGACATGAGTATTGATTTTAAACAGCTACCCCTAATTCTGCCCACAACTAGCAGGACTAATGCCTAGAAAAAAATTGGATTAAATTTCATGTTTTGGATATCTAATGAATTAAAACTTTGACCATTAGTAAACGCTGTTCTTTACGTAGACAATTTGGATGCAACAAGAATCAACGATTTTTAAACACACCTAGAATTCTAGAATTAAAACTTAATGCGACCGAACATGTGAACAAGAACTATGTAAAAGCACATTCAATGTCAAAGTTGAAGCACATCATCAAACAATAGGTGAATACGATTTCCGATTTAAAAGTCAACAGCAACTCCTCATACTCGCTCCTTAGCATGTTCGTCACTTTTCTACCAATAGAGTATTTCCCGCTATCGTTTGTTAATCACCAATCGCGATACACACATCGTCCCCCCCCCCATTTTCTCATTGGCTTAGCCTCAACAAGCGGGATTCATTACACCATCTAGGAAAAGTGCAGGCGCCTAACTATCTCATTGAAAAGAGGAGCAGCATTTCTGCCTCAAACACCTATTACCATAATTAATACAATGATGACCACTAGGTATGATTAAATAAACGATTGACTTACATCCGCTTCTGCAAGAGTGGTGACGGTATTATCTGGACTTTGTGAAATTCGAGGTCGAACTACAGCTGGAATAGTCATTTCAAATTTGCAGTGATCTTCTGAGATCTCCTCAGTAAATTCCTGTGGTAAGCAAAAAAAGGCGGACATGTGGTTGGATAGACGACTGACACACAAGGCAGAGGCAATCAAGCAAGATGATCAAGTTTACCCAGTTAGTTGACAGGAACATTTTCAAGTCAAGTGGATCACCACATAGTTCACCCTCGATACGTGTCAGAGAGTGGCAGGTTGCCATTGTCTCTAATAAGGGCCCATTGGGGAGTTCACTGGGTTGTTTCACCGGAGGGTTGTAGCAACCATTTCCATTGGGAACTACTCCCCAAAGGTCCAGACCGTCTTCTGTGATAGTACCCGTCTAGAAAAGTCAAGTAGAATGTCCAGAATCGAAGCTGCACTTTTCTTCTCGCGGTGGTTTAAGAATCGAAAGAATACGCACCTTATCGAAACAGGCGACGTTGATAACACCGCAGACATTTATTACACTCGGATTGATACAAAAGATGTTCTTCTGCTTGAGGCGACGCTGAGCGAATGCCATGCCGACTGTCATCGCCATGGGCAAGGCTGGCGGTACAGCTATAGTGATCATATCCAGGGCTTTCTTTAATATCTCTGTTGCGGTGAGTCCATTTCTTAACTAGAAAAAGGTGATTTAAAAGAAATTTTTTAAACCTTGTTATAAACAGATAGTATTCCACCAACAAATCATCCTTCCGTGGGGGGGGGGGGGGGTTCTCAGACAAACTCCACGCATTTGGGTCAAAAACTCACTGGTATATACCTAATTTTGATTTCTAACGGGAATTTGAGAACAAACTATTAGGTGTAAAGATGTTAATTATATTCGAGTGCTCATAGATAAACAGCAGTGCGTTTTCGCAATTGACCCAGTCACTGTTCCACGAATGTAATGAACAAAGAGCACTTTAAGTGAAACATATTAGAAAGGCGGGGAAAACCCTTAATGAGGCAGCGAGAGTCTCACAAATAACCCAACCCTTACTGACTTATAATGCCAGAGCCACATAATTTATGACACAGCAGATTTATTCTATCAAAAAGAGCTCTTTTTCACCTTGTCAACGTTGTTGGGATTAGCATTTTGTTCAACAATCCCTTTCAAATAAATGGTGTAAATAGTGTCGAAAGGTTAAACACAAACACACTTCTCCCAGTAATTGGTTCCAAAAGGGTACTTTAGTTTGTACTGCAACTCGATATTAGTATTCCACCGTGGCGATGATTACAGTATAGAAGGTGGAAACATAACCGAATTAGGACAGTGTGATTGCCCTTTGAGTCACATCATCAACTGGAAATGACGTAATAAGGAAATTGTGTCACCTATTTGATTCTCTACCCAAACTTCCAATAATGCAGATGGCAATCAAGGTGCAACAGCCAAGGATCCAGCGAAAAAGGGCCTGAAGCATGCTCTCACGAAATGGCAATTGACAAAGCAAAAGGGTAATCTGGCTATAAGTAATTCATGCTTAATATAGACAGTTTCATAGCAGTCATTCGGGTTTTAGCTCTATGAAATAGGATTTATTAATTTCAAATGGCAGGCGTTTTGAAAGTTATCATTAGCCCTTTAGCTGACTTCGGGGCTTCATAGAGAGGAGGAGGAGGAACATCAAAGTGAAAGCAAATCGAGAGGGGGATAGAATAATGATTGACAGATGTAAAAGAGACAAACTAACAGAAAGGCATAGGAAAGGTAAGATGAGTATTGTGGAAGGGATCGAATATGACAAACAGTCGGATCATACTAGTTTGAATTCAGAAGTCAACTGCCAGTTAATAGACTCTTTTGCCGAAAAAGTATACGTTGCCCAGGGTGCCCCACGCTCTATGAAATATAAGGCTAAGACGTTTGCATACTGGCCTGGAATGGTTAATGACACCTAAATGTTGCCCGAAAATGCTTTTAATGCTACCTCCGACCCCTACCCCCNCCCCCCCCCCCCCCCCCCCCCCCCCCCCCCCCCCCCCCCACCAAGTAGCTAACCCCTGACTTAAAACCACAGGTTCATGATCACGTATACACATGAATGTTACTGGACCTGCCAACGGTCCTTCGGATCTTGTCCTTTCAGTTTCCCACCTAGAGTGACCCAAGGCTATTCCATCAAGGGCCTTCACAACTACCCCTCCCCACCTTGGCCGTTAATCTAATTAACCCATAAACTACCAGAAAAAATTGCAATCGATAGCAGAAACCAATTCCCTTCGGCCCTCTTTCAAGACTTTTGTCGGATTCATAATGCTACAACTGTCTAATCACAGCTATAACATTTTCAATCAAACTCTCAAGGAGAGCGAATCGTTAACACTCTGGAACGAGCACTACAGAAGTCTCACGAGAGGGGGTGGGGGGGGGGGGTTGGGGTACAACAGAAAAGATTCACAAGATATTCCATTTAGTGCAATGAGCGGCGGTCCAAAATACTCTAATCCCAAGGGATTCAATCTTCACTGGTTCATCATTAGGACCTAAGAAGACTTTCACAACCAACACATCAATTAGCATTAGAGGGAAGCAGCCGAATAGAAAGTACCAGCGCAGATCATAATACGTGAAGTGGTTGTTGGATGCACCATCCAAATCATCCTCCGTCTTCGAGGCACGCCAAACTCATCGGAACCGGAAACGCGTTATTCGGTTATCCTCTTAATTTTTGTTGACCTACTATCGTTTGAAACTACCGAAACCCCGAAAATTGAATAGTAGAATTAGCAAAAAATTTCGTTCCGAACGTTCCTGAAAACTCCCCAAAAATTGAAAAAGTACGATGGAAAACTTTTCGCGGAGGTTCCGTATAAAATGGAGTAATTATATTGAAAGAAATGAAGTAACGATTTTATACTTTTATCAATTTTTTTCACTAACTCCATAATTTTGACATTAAGAAGAAGAAAATGGAGTTTGATTAAAAACTGCATGAATACTAATCAAATCGAAATTTAATGACTACTCAGAGGTCAATCAAGTTGGGACAAGAAATACATGTAAACTTCCTTTACGAGTAAAAGGACATTTAAAAGTCCTCATTAGGTTGAGGTAACCCGCGGATGTGTATTAATCTTCGAGCCAGCAGTTGACTTATTGAAATTGAGGGGAGCATGACACAAGTGGATATAGAAGCAAGTTCAGTTGCTAATACGAAATTTTAATTGAAGATGACTACTCTAATCATTCACACCTCAAGTGTCTGGATCGGGATGGATCAGCATAGTTTTTAAACTGCAACTGGAACCAGCGACACGTGTGGGGTAATAGCTAGAACAAAGGACAGCTTAAGGTAAATATTAACATAAACATTTCCTTGCGGTACTTTTAATTTCTGGCTTAGTAGTTTGGGGGAACTATTCGGACAGTGAGATCAGGGGTGCGCGTTCGATTTACCTCCACGTGGTGCATCCTGGGCAACTTTTACTCTTACGGCAAAAAAGGCATACTCCACTTCTCCACTGTACTCACCTCACCCTTTTCTCTACCTGTGTCTATCTGTCTCATACATCTGTGAATCACTCTTACGTTCCTTCCCCCCCCCCCCCCCCCCCACCCACATCGACTGTTTGTGACTTGATATTCCTCCCCTCTGCGAAGCCCGAAGCCAACTAAAGGGCCGATGGTGACCATAAAGCCTGTCAGTTAAAAATAAATATTATGATCTATTTAGAGGCCAGGTGACAATGCTTTGAGCAGTAGATGGCAGTCAAAATTGTGAAATATTCCACACTTGCATTATAATTTCTGGTGGTGATAAACACGAGCAAAATTAGGCATAAAGACAACTGAATTTGGCACTATCGCTTTTAGAGAGGCCCCCGCGTACAAATAGATTGAAATGAAAACTTGCACAAATGACGGTCAGTAGTAGAAAACTCTAATTTAGGGTTCACACGCACACACGCACAAAAACACCCACAGGATTTCTTAGTTAATAATACCGAGTGTGGCCAAATGTCAGCATAGTATGGTAAATTAATATTATTTTTTTACTTAAGATTAACAAATACAAAACATAACAAATAACAGCTCTGATCTTTCAATATTCCCCGGCATGGGTTTCCACGAACTTCGATACTCAACTCACCGCGTTTAAACGCGTTTCTTTCGTCTTGGCCACACTCACAAAAATGAAGACAAAGGCGTGGGTGTGGACCTACTACAGACATATGGGATTAGCCTCAAGCAAAAGGCGTCAAAATCTCTTATTCTCAATGAAGATCCTATATCAGCAACCACAGGAAAAGGTGTATTTAAGAAGTACCCTTTTTCTTTGGCTGCCTGTCGATTTTACTCATAGAAGAGCGAGTAATTGGGTATCTCTTACCCATTGAAGCGATATCCCTTGCAATTATTATATCAATCCTAGTGTCTCTTCAGGGTATAAATCTTGGAATATCACCCTTTCGGAAAACATCAGAGGGTATGAATCTATTACTACAATAATTACAATCATTTACACAAACATTGACCGGTCACAGTTCTATCGGACTCAAACAGAGTCAACTTTACTCCCCCCCC